AAAGAGAGAGAGAGAGAAAGAGAGAGCGAGAGGAAGAGTGATCGAGTCGGCGGCGGCGGTCGGCGCCTTTTGATCTTGCCTGTAATCCCGTCGGGCCCCGCGGCCTGACTGACGTCATGAAAGGTGTCCGAGAGCCATACATACGCGACGAACCCGTCTAAGTGTGCGATGCACGCTGGTGGATATGTCCTTACGGCCCATTGGGATCCCATGAGGAAGGGGGATGTAAATCTTGAAGATTTGATGAATGACGAAACGGGACTACTTTGGCTACATCGAGAACGGTCGGAGGAGTGGTTCGGCGATGTCCCTTTTTTTCCAAGGATACCACCGGCAATTAGCAGAAGTTTTCATAGCAGGTGTTGCGAGGGCTTCGTGTAACGACAGGTTCATTACAGTGTTTCGTCGATTATCAATTTTTCTCGTAGTCGGCCGCATGTTTTCAATGAAATTATCGTTCAAGTTGTTATCTCGTCCCTCATTATCTCCGTGCCCGCGCGCCACCCGACAACGCCGCGCGGTACCCTACCTGTCCCCACGCGCTCCGCTGAATTTAATCAGCGATAAGGTAAAGAACTGCTTATTAAGAAACACCGATCAATTGTGACCCCATCGCGAAACAGTAGCACAAATAATACAACAAAAACTAGACGGAGCATGTGGGTGCAAAAATTATGTTCATATTTTCGAACGTTGTTTTCTTTGGAGATTCATTCGCACAGATACTTTTATGTAACAATCAGCCGCAGAAACGAATGTTCAATCGAATACCCGTTGTCCTAATTTATGAAACAGTTGGCATTCGTGTTTCATATTCGGTGTCCCTATTTTGGTACGGGCAACTAAAATGGGCATTCCACAATAGGAACATTAAATATGAAACGCGGGGACATGGTACGAAAGCGGCGTTCCATAATTTGTGTGTGCTAGCTTTACTACTTTACTAGTTATTCCTATTAATCTTTTTATTCGTATTAAATAAATATTTCAAGATTCCTTACGTTATCTCGAAACAAAAATATAAATATTCAACAATAGCATTTTTCAGTTTTAATAAAATCGACGACAATCTTGTACTTCCCTAAAAAGCGTTCCGTAATTGGTATTTTTAGCTTAAGGAGGAATCTGGTTTACAAACTTAAAATTTTTGACTTCTTTTTGCATAAATCGGTAGTAATACTCATCGAAAATATCGTTGCTCTAATCCAATATGTCTGAATAATGAAGTTTAAAAGAAAAGGGCATCCATCGACAACAAAATTTCATGCAGAATAAGAAAAAATCTATATTAGTATTAAGAGACTTTAGCGTTAATACAACAATTTTCTTTGTACTGTCTAAATGTTCAATAAAACTCCTCTAAAGTGTTAAATAAGCTCAACTTACAGTTGTGGGAAAAAAGAATTCTTGAAGTTCACTGATATTTCAGTGTTCCCGCCTCCCTACTCCCCTTAAATCGATTCGGCGATGGTTATTTTGAATCAGGTCGATTCGAACGTTTTTTGCGAGCAACGAGGTGTCGTGTTCTCTTAGAGTTTTCTTGCGGGAACGGCCCCTCGGAGCGGCAACGTGTTCGAAACAATGCTTCTTTATCGCATTCAATCAACTCCGAGCATCGTAAAGTTTCTATCACGGTTCAGATTGCTAGGAACTTCCGACATCGCGCGATCGTTTACCTACCCGATGGAGAAATGAGGGAATCGCACGGATTTCAAATAATCAGAGGACAAATGTTTGGATTCGTGTGGATTCGTTCTACTGCGTATCTTCGTTGCGTTTGAATTTATTTTAGAAATTAATAGGCTGTGAGTTTTTATATCCAGAATAAATACTCGCACCGGTTGCAATCAACGAAAAGCAAATTGAAATTTCATTCGCTTTTACACTCGAACGACGGATCTTTCTCACGGAAATATAGCTGTGAATATGCTTGGGATCTTTTTTCATTTTATTTGTGAAATTGTTTCGATATATGGACAGTTCAGAAGTTAATCATCGTAAGTCCACTTTTCTTTGAAAATGAGTGGCGCGGTGTAAACACATCTTTATCGTAGGACCTATCGATCGAAAAATCAATACAGTCGATTTCTTCGTAAGTAAAGAGTAAATAGTTCAGATGAAATTTCATTTCCTAAACAAAATTGACATTTTTCTTTTGTTAGCAGTATTGTTACTTTTTCATAACTAATTTGTAAAATCCTTATTTATTTCAATTTCAAGGTACATAGATTTCAAGATTGAAGCCTCCCCTTTGCAATGATCTCTTAAATTTTGACCTACGATTTTTTTTAGTCGCTTTACTGAGCATCGAGTGAAAGGTGTACTGCCTATTTTACAGTAACACAAGGTTCAGGAGGGCTCTACACAAACGAACTTGTTCCTCGTTTACGTTTCACAAAACGGCAAAAATAATTCGTACAGTAAGTTTTGAGAAGTCGTTGCAAAGGGGAAGCTTCAATCTTAAAATCCGTGGTCCATTTATTCGTGAACAACATTTTTCAGTGGTTCTGGAGATGTTTGAATTTGTAACATTTCCGAGTAAACCTGTGTCTTCAGTTTACCGTTTACTATGAGTTATAAAAGCATGATAGGAAGAATGAATTGCGAAGATAGAGATTTCATATACCAAATGTTGCATTGAAGTAAATTATATTGCTGCGAAATTTTATAGGAATTAATATTTCTAGATAGATTTTGTGTGTTAAAATAAGTCCAAAATTATTATGGTACGACTCGTCATTACGAATATATTTGTTTGTATTATAATATACTAAAAGTTGAATTGAAATAAAGATCATTATACTGCTGCGAAATTTTAAAGGAATTAATAAATAAAAGATTTTGTGTCTTTATTTAGAGGTACTTTACATGATCACTTTGCAGAATTACAAATTTAATGTCGGTGTATAGGCGTCATCGGAGAGCAAAGTGTTAAAATAAGTCCAGATTTATTTCATGGTATTACTCGTTTTTACAAAATTGTAACAATATAAATACCGACAATTCTTCGAACAAATCTGACATTCAATGTTCGAATACATTTTACATTGACTGTAGTTAATGAACCGATTAGCAAGTTCCGTGTAATCGAAACTGACAAAAAAAGCATCGCTTCTTTTGTTGTTGTATCGGAATTTCATTGCGACATTATCATTATCTTGAACACCGGGGTCGAGAATCGGGAGAAACATGCGGCCCCGCAAATACGTGCGCAAAGCGCGTGTAGAAATTAAATTTTACTGGTGATTTTTATGCAAACGGTCTTTTATGTAAATATGACACGACGAACGTTGTCCCGGCGCAACGCGACGCGACGCGATGCGGCGGGAGCGTGTCTCGAAAAGAGGTAGTTTGCATGCGTGAATTTTCAGGAGACGAGATTCGCTTAGGTGAACCCCTTACCTGGCTGGATTTTACTGCTTATCGCAAAACCGGACTCGTAACTCGTAACACTTACTTTTCGTAGGCCCGTGATCTCTGTCTTACGTAAAAGTCCCTCCCTTAAGGAGTCGTAAGGTGAACATCATAAAAGGGTACCAGACCGTCTACTACCGAGACGCATCTCATTCTGCTGCCTCCTTCCCTTCTTCTGCAGTGTTTCGTCGTTTCGAGCCTTTCACAGAGAACTCGCCGCTACCGGCCTTTCCGGGAACTTTTTCACGCAGATTTTGCTGCCGGTGCTCGTGTGACGTCGTTTGTTTAACTTGCCGATTATCATTAAGTTAATTAAAAGGAAGACTAATTACTAGTAATTAGTAGAGTTTTAGCGACACCTCGCGTGACACCGGGCCTATGGTGTTTTTCTCGACCGGTCCCCCGGATAAATATGCTTTCCTCGTCACGGTCGTTTTGTGTTACGTATCTCCTTACCGACTGGTAGTTCACCTCGTAAATTGTTAATCTTTTTCCGAACGTTCTCGTGGAATTATATATACAACTTTAGCCGCGTTTCGATTTTTTATTGGGACATTCTTCTAAGGGGTTATTTTAGAATGAAGTGCCTGTGTTTTTAACTTCGTTGGGGAATTTTTCGCAGAGAAACTATTATACCTTTTGCAGTTAAATTGACAAGGTTTATTTGTACGTGTTTCGAGGATGTTTTAACATTTTTTGGAACAGGAAACAGTTAAAATTAGTGGCACTGCATACTGTCGAACATAGTCGCTTTCAAAAGAAGTCGTCTCACGGTTTCCATGAAAGTTTCTTAATTAGTATGAATTTCGCTATAGCAGGTACTAAAACAAAAGAAAAACGTCGGTAATTAAAAAAGTGGCGGTACTTTGAAATTCGATTATCGATTTTTGCATGTTTTCATGGATATCATGTACGCCGTTCTGAAAACCATAGTTTCAAGAAAAATGCCTTTAAAGTTTAGAATATCTATAATGATTCAAGGTCGTCGCGTGAAGGTTGTTCAAACAACCATAACTTCGCTAATTTTAGGAGTTCGCATGTAACGTTCCTGGGACGTATTTTTGAAACTATGTTCTTTAAGAATATACAAAAAAATCGATTTTTTCAAAAGTTCACACTAGAATAACCCCTTAAAATACGTGACGCTTGCAAGGGATGATTTCGAAAGCCCGGAAGTTCAAAAAATTCTACCAACACAAAAATTCGATCAATATAACATTTTTCTAATTGTTTAAACAATTAACAAATCGTATACCACATGCATAGGTTTGGGCGGGAGATGTAACTTTCATTATTCTTTTTCTGCCTTGTACAGTTTGCGAATTATTGCAATAAAATAAAAATAAGTTTTTAGTAGTAATTCACAGTACACAAATTATATTGTGAAATACTGGATAAATTATAAATGATATTGTAAGATATTACGCAAATCACATAAATTACATTGTGCAACAGCAGAGAAATTGCAAATTGTATTGTCAGACAACTGTGTTTACTGAGGACCACGCAGCAAGTTTGCTGCCTCCTCCGTCTGTCATAGTCGATTTATAAAGTAACTCATGCACCCTCGTTTCTTTTTCTTTCAGGACAAGGGCGTGTGAATCAACTCGGTGGTGTGTTCATTAATGGGCGCCCATTGCCGAATCATATTCGTCGTCAGATCGTAGATATGGCCGCAGTCGGTGTCAGACCATGCGTAATCTCTAGACAGCTAAGGGTTTCGCATGGCTGCGTGTCGAAAATCTTGAATCGATATCAGGAAACGGGATCGATTAAACCGGGTGTGATCGGTGGTAGCAAACCACGGGTGGCTACGCCCGAAGTCGAAGCAAAAATTGAGGACATGAAGAAACAGAACCCCGGCATATTCAGCTGGGAGATACGGGAGAAGCTGATAAAGGTCTGTTGACATCGTCTATGCGATATTAATTTGATTTCTTGTTCATTAATTCTCGGCATTACCGCCCCTTTCGACATTTATTTTCAATGCTTAAAAAATTTGTTAAACGCAACGTGTCTCTATTACGAAATGTTTGAAACAATTTATCGAACTGCAGGTCTTTGTGCAAAATAAGAATTTTGTTCGACGATGAAATTTTCAAAACGCATCCTTTTAATTCCAAGTATTAGCAAAATTTAAGTAGTTCAATCATTGTCCAGTAGACTAGTCGTTCTGTCATCTAAAAGTAATTCAAGTCATTTAATCCAGCATTAAAAGAGTAATTGCATCTGAATTAGTGGATGAACACTTTTGTGGGCCACTGTATTTGGTATATATTAGTGAATTGTTTAAGAAAAATTTATGTATTCTTTGACTTTGACAAATTGATTGACAAATTCATGGTGTCTGTTCGTAAAATATTACGATATCCCAATAATAATGACAAGTTTATAAATAATAACAATTTTAAGTGAATTGAAAAGAAATAGGGACAACAAAGAAAAGGGTGGAAATATATTTTTATATAAAATATCTAGAAACGCAAGTGACATCATGGGTTACGCATTTGCCATGATTGATTACTCGTTCTATTTGCATAACAAAAGATAGAAAAAGTGCATCTCGCTAATGCAACGCTTTAAGCAATAAGCAACTGTCAATACAAGATAATGATATAGCCGGAACAATGGTTCCTGCCAACATTATTCAATAATCCACGGACGTATATAGCGTACAAATACGTGTATGACGTTGGCTGTCAATCAATGAAAAGTAAAAGTCTACATTTTTATTAAATATCATACAAATATCAAGCAAGCAATCGCGAATGCCCGTTGCATAGAAACGGTTTCGTATGTTTCTTGAAAGTGCAATTTGAACAGTTCATTAGTTATATTTACGTGAACTGACATATCTGCTCGTCACAATTTTTAATTGCATCAATATTTAAACTTGTTAATAATTTTTAATTTTTACTTCTGTAAAAATCATTTCTTGATCGATTTGTCTCCAAATTTCTAAACTGTAATGTTACATGCGAATTTGGATTAGTACATAATTTTACAAAATAATGATTGCAAATGGTACAAATAATATATAAAACAAAATCTAGCATTAGATAAAATTGATATTTGCATAGCAAACGTTGCGTCACAAAGCTATAGTGAGCGATATACATTGGATTCTTCGTAACATGTGCATAGAATGAAAAATGTTTATTCGAGTCTTGTTACTTTTAATTTCTATACTAACTAGTCCAATGTGGTTCTGCCAGCAGGATGGTGTCTGTGATAAAGCGTCAGCACCGTCGGTTTCCAGTATATCAAGACTCCTTCGTGGTCCTGCAAATCAGACTCGGCCCAGTGACGATCCTCGCAGGAATCATTCGATCGATGGGATACTCGGTGGGTTTACTTCTTCGCATTAAATACGTTTCATGCTATATCTCTACCGACCTTCTTTATTATACATATCTTTCCATAATTTATTTTAAAATCATTACTGGAAGAATTGAAAAACTCTTCGGGAAAAGCGATTAAACTTAAAAGATAATTTTAAATTGATATTTCAAAAGGTGTCTTTCCACCACTTCGATAAAAACTGTGTTACGTTCAAATTTTATATAGTGTCTTCCAAACCCTCTGATAGTAATTGTTTTAACTTAAAATTTTACTTCATTGATAGAAGTAATGTTCAATTAAAATTTTTAAAAGATGTCTACGGGTTCCATTGGTAGATATAGTGTTCAATTAAAATGTTTAAAAGATGTCTACGGGTTCCATTGGTAAATACAGTATTCAATTAAAATTTTGAAAGATGTCTATGGCCTTCATTGATAGAAGTGGTGTTGAATTAAAATGTAAAAGGGTGTATATAGACTTTGTTGGTAGAAATAGTGTTCAATTAAAATTTTAAGAGTTGTCCATGGTCTTCGTTTATAGAAGTAGTGTTCAATTAACTTTTAAAAGATGTTTATGGACTCAATTGGTAGAAGTAGAGTTCAACTAAAATTTGAAAAGGTGTCTACGTGTTCCATTGGTATATAAACAATGTTAAATTAAAATTTTAAAAGGTGTCTATGGACTCTATTGGTAGAAGTAGTGTTCAATTAAAATTTTAAACAGTGTCTCTTGACCTATTTGCTAAAATACAAAATTTTCGAAAGGTGTCATCATTTGCACCGTTTGGTAGAAATAATGCATAATTGAAAATTTGAAAGCTGTTACTTAACTCTCTTGATAAAAAATGGTATTAATATTATTGTATGAAATGGCACACACCTTGCTGATCGATTTCACACGAAGTAACGATCAAATTCGAAAAAATATGTCTTGCGTGATGATGATGATCGCACAAATATCGGTCAAAGAATTAACGGAACCGGAATCAGTGGCTTGCCATTTAAAGAGATTTTCTTGAGGGATACGTACACGCGAAATTTGCGAACAGCGTCGTTGTTTTAACACCGCATAAACCATTAGGCGGGCGTAAATGAAACGCTCGAGGTAATCGAGCGATAAGCGTAATTATAGCGTGCAGAAACATTAAGTTAATTGAGTTAAGGTAACCGTAACGATAAGTACTGCATGCACATTGCCAATACAGATTTTGCACTGTACAAGAGGGACACGTAATTTTCAGTTCATAGTACGCGAGTTTTTTTCGTTTGAGAAACTAGATCTCATTCTGGAGTTGTAAACCTAGTTAAATTTTGCATTTCATGCGAAACGTAAGTTGTCGTCGTTATTTGCAAAATAGAACAACTACGCAGACATTTATTCGTTTTCTCAATAATCGTAATGACTTAACGGTAATGTAATAATATTGTCAAATTATTTAAACGTTTCTGCCAATTTACATTTATGACAAAATTCAGTAGGTGCGATCTCAACTAGTAGAAAAAATTAAGTAATTTCAGGCTGTCAATGTACTATTTCCAATTAGCGAAAATTATCAAATAAAGAAAGATATTTCTAAGTGATTCCTTTTTCTTTTGCAACAGACTCAGAAAATTTTTATTTCGCATAAAAGTCTGCCTATAAGAGAATTAACATTCAAAAAGTACGCGTAGTAATTAGCCATTTATTTATTTACAAATATAATTACTGGACTGCAGATTTTATGCGTCTATGATAAATGTGAGTAGATGCAATCTAAAACAATGAAAAAATTGAAACGAGTGAAGAATATTAATGTATGTATATAAATTTGAAACAGATGAATCTATTTATCTTGATACAGGGAACTCTATTTAACAATAATTGTCCAGTAATGTCCGCTGTCCAATAATTACTTGCTGCTGAATATAATTAAGTGCGTGTAACCTGATAGATTTAACTTTTGATTTTAAAAAACCCACACTCTGCACCTTTGTTTTTATTGAACTTGATTGATAAAAACTAGACTGCGGATTTAATGCATTTATAACGAAAATGAATATGAGAAACACGAAACAGAGAAACCATTGAAAGGATTTGGAAATATTGCTCCATTATTGTCATCCTAATGAATCTAATAAAAGCAAATCATTTTTTATTTTACATAAAGATATTCGTTGTCTAATAATCACATATTGGAAAACTTAACTAAACAAAATAATTCGTTCTCGCAGATTTTAACAAATAGAAATAATTTATACCAGCACACTTCAACTAATAGAAATAATCTCACACTCGCACACTGTCCGCAGTATCGATAGCATCGATATTATGGTATTTCTATTTATATTAACGTTGAAGGTTACGATAATAGTGTCAAAGAATTTTCGCTGGCTGAAAGCAGAATAATTTGGAGGGTGGCAAGAGATTAACAAAAATCTAGGTCCAGTCGGCGGATGTAAAAGGAGTCCGTTCGTTTTTTATTTATTAGCAGGAGTGGAGTTCGCGAAGAAATATTAGGCGTCCCGTGGCGCGTAGATGTGTCGAGTTTATTACCATGTCGAGAAGATTTAGTTTTGATTAGATGTAGGTACCCCGGGAATTGCAACCCGATCTAATCGTAAGAACGCGATTATGGTCAGCCTACCCACCTGTTGATCACTTTACGTCATTCAATGGACAGATTTTCTCTTCGTTGTCACTCAAATCGTTTCGGTCAATTTGTTACCGGTATCTACAAAATTATGACAATTCGGTAGTAAAGAGAATGGATTTATTGATCATTCTTTCTATGATTATTAAAAGATAAATTAATTGTTGTGTACTTGTTTCTTGGAAACGTATGCACAAGTTCGATTCTGTTATGATTTTCGTTTAACATCAACCATCGTGTGTTTGATAGTAAGAAGAATGATCATTTTTATATCCTTATTATGCTTTTAATTTAACATATTATTAATAGCTTCGTTTCATACTGGAAACCGAATCTAGATGATATACTTTTATCTCGTTTTATCATTCTTTAACAATGCATTTCTTATTAAAAATGCGAATGTAGTTTACAAATTATATGATTATATTTAAGAAATTAATATTCAACGGTAGAACTACTGAACCGTAAACGCGACTAATGTATATCGTTTTGTGACAATAAGATATCTTTTTTACGATTTTCATTGTAATGCATGCTTGAATGAAGAAGTTTATCGAAAAATTTTCCCTACAAACATTTTTATAACGTCAGTAACTATCAAAGTGTCAAATAAAAAATCAGTCATATTGACTGCTTTGGTAGTTCTACTGTCAATAATAGTAACACTTAATAGTTTCAACACTCAGATGTTAGAGATTTGAGACACAGAGTATAAATATCGTTATTTGTGATTATCCATTGTCTGACAATTAATTTTAAAGTTTCACATGTTTCATCGAGATCTATAGAAACACAAACTAAAAATTGGCAAATAAAATTTTCAAGGGTCCTAGACATACTCGGTTAGATAATTGTCGCACCGTAAAACTAATTTTTATATTCTGATTATGGTGTCCTTTTATTTTTTAATCTCAGAATATTGTAACGGAGCAATGTAACTAAAGTTCAGACAAGATTACGTTTTTGTTTCGATAATATCATTAATGCATGTTATTGTGTCATCGTAGCATAATTGAACGTTTACAAGTAAATTCAATTATGGAACGGAACTATTGTTAATTAACATCTATAGTTGCTGCTTGTATAAGGAAAAAATAAAGCAAGCGACAGACGTCTCGATTTCGCCATTGTATTAACGCGCATTCAGGTGGATGTCATGTCACGTTGAACGAGAAAGGCATTCCTTCGAGAGCGCTTCTCAACAGCTGCCAAATATATCTTTTGATATTTTTATTTTCTCTTCGTTTCGCTGCCAGGTCAGTGTAATCGATTCAATATTGCTACATTTATTCGAATATTCGAGTAAAGAAGGTTAAGTAAAGAACATTGCACGAATATAGATAATAAATTTTTATTCATACATAACATTAATACTTAATATTAATACGTAATATAATAATATTATATTAATACATATTAACATTGACATCATGGATATATGATAATAATTGATAGTAGATCGCGGATCTTTATGCAAAATAAAAATTCTCCAAGACGAAATTAAATATGTGGAACAGAAAATAAATTGTTTCCTTTAATCATTTTAATAAACTGAAAATAATGTAACTGTATTATTAAATTCTGTGTTTACAATTTTATATTTAAGCCATACGCTTTTGTCATAAATTCATAAAAATCCACAGTCTAATTATTAGCGAATATTCATTTTCATCAGTATTTGCTTTCATCGACATTCACATCACCTTTCATTTCCGTCGACATTCGTCACTTTTTATTTTCATTGGCATTCATCAATTTTCATTTTCATCGACAAGACAGTTTTTTACAGTGAACAGAACGTACATTCAATTAATATGAACGTTTTTTTTGTTGCATCATAAAAGCATAAAATCTGCAGTTTATAAAATACTGTTCGAGAATTTAACGTAACTTGCTCGTACTGAAAATCTGCATATTATAACAACACTCTTTCTTCGTTTAATCGGAAAAAGATTTATACGCACATGAGTTACATTTAAATGCGCAAATTATATTCTTTGAGGAAGGAGAAAACGCGTAGACAGCTTGTAACGTTAGGTTTCGCAATTAACATTTCTTGTATGCTTCGAGGCAATTTTGATCTTGTGTTATGTAGTTTCTTGATTAGTTTCTCTCTTTCATTCTCGTATTGTTTACATTGCCGTAATATTTGATTAATGTCTTCACTTTCATAAGAACATTCGCACTTAGGATCGTTTATTATATTTATGAAAGCAAGAGTGGTAGTTAAGTTGTAACGATCTGTTCTTATACGATTTATAGTAACTACACAATTCTCTAGAATAATTACCATAACGTTACCATAGATTATCATTATCTTTATAAAAGGAATGCAAATATTTTTTTCCTTTCGTAATCAAGATGGGGTTTTCAA